GATCCCATGGTACGTTCTCCCCATTCAGGCGCCCAATTGCGACTCGAAACTGACCTGCCATGATAGAACGGCGAGGAGAAGTGGCGATACTTCAAGATGCTCTGCGATCTAGGCTACAAGGAGATTGAGGTCTCTTTCCCTTCTGCCTCTCAAACCGACTTCGACTTCACCCAGCGCCTGATCCAGACCCCAGGAGCTGTCCCCGACGATGTCTTCCTACAAGTCCTGTCCCCCTGCCGACCCGACCTCATTCGCAGAACCGTCGAGTCTGTCCGCGGTGCTAAGAACGCCATCATTCATATCTACCTTGCTACAAGCGCATGCTTCCGTCAAGTAGTCTTTGGCTACACTGAGGAGCAGACCCTGGAGCTTGCTGTAGAGTGCACTAAGCTGGTCAGATCTCTGACAAAGGATAACCCCGAGGCTTCTGGCACCAATTGGCAATTCGAGTTCTCTCCTGAGTGCTTCTCAGACACAGACCCTGACTATGCTGTGAGAGTCTGCCAGGCCGTCAAGGCTGCTTGGGGACCTGACGCGACCAAGGGCGACCAGATTATCCTGAACCTCCCCGCCACAGTAGAACTGGCGACACCCAACATCTACGCCGATCTGATCGAATACTTCTGCAACAACATTGGCGACAGACAGGATGTTTGTATCTCTCTGCATCCCCACAACGACCGTGGATGCAGTATTGCTGCTGCTGAGCTTGCTCAAATGGCCGGCGCTGACCGAGTTGAGGGCTGCCTGTTCGGTAACGGTGAGCGAACTGGAAACGTCGACCTCGTCACTCTGGCCCTCAACCTGTACACACAAGGTGTCAGCCCTAACATTGACTTCTCCGACTTGAACTCAGTTATCGACATGGTCGAGTCATGCACCAAGATCCCCGTACACCAACGTGCTCCTTACGGTGGCAGCCTGGTATGCGCTGCTTTCTCTGGCAGCCACCAAGATGCTATCAAGAAGGGTTTCCAGGACCGCAAGGCCAAGGGCCTGGGCCACGAGGACCCCTGGAACGGCATGCCCTACCTGCCCCTGGACCCCCGAGATATCGGCCGCAACTACGAGGCTATTATCCGTGTCAACTCTCAGTCTGGAAAGGGAGGAAGCGCTTTCATTGTGCACACCAAGCTCCAACTTGATCTTCCCCGCGGTCTCCAAGTCGCCTTCTCCAAGGTCGTCCAGAAGAAGAGCGAGGAGGTCGGACGCGAGCTGCTGGCCAACGAGATCACCTCTCTGTTCGAGAATACATACTTCCTCAACAACAACCCTCATTTCAGCCTGGTAGACTACAGCATCACCCCTGACCGATCGCGATCTCCTGCCCCCGCAGCTCACGGCAGGACCCAAGACACCAAGGACTTTATCCGTATCTTTGAGGGTGTCCTCCTGGTGAATGGCAAGGAGCTGAAGCTGCGTGGCCGTGGTAACGGTCCCATTTCCAGCATGGTTTCTGCCCTCAAGGAGCTTAACATCGAGTTCGATGTCAATGACTACAAGGAGCACGCCATTGGCGAAGGACGCGGTGTCAAGGCTGCCTCATACATCGAGTGCAAGCCCGTTGGTAGCAAGCAGTCAGTATGGGGTGTTGGCATCCACGAGGATGTGGTACAAAGTTCTCTGATCGCTCTCCTGAGCGCAGCTAGCAACGTAAGTCTTCACCGAACTCTGCCAGTAAATCAGCACTAACATGATATGCAGTTCGTCACGAGCAGACCCGCCAGCCCTGTTCAGAAGGCCACTGATGCTCCTGCTCCTCAAGAGACCCCTAGTGTGGTGTCTATTCTGGAGGAGAAGGCCAATGGCATGTAAAGTCAATGGAAATGAAGAAGTAAAACAGGAAAACAAAAATTGAACAGGGGGCCAGCCTCTCGATTTGCCACGAACCGCTTGGCATGTTTGTACAGTTAGTTCATGTTGTTCATATGAATGAGGGGGCGCGGGTGCTGAAAAGCTTTGTCATCTTGAGGAGTTAGTCAAAAATTGAAGATAATTGACTTGATCAAAGATTGGATTTCATCGTGATAGAGGAGGGCATTGCATCATGTGTCTTCTGGATTTCCTCTTTCGTATCCTGTTGTGATTCCTGCACCGTATTACATCGTCATATGTCTTCGATTCAGTCGTGCTTGGTGATCTCAAAGGACTCTCAAACGTCAGGAAGCTACTGAATGACGATGACTCATGTCACGTTACAGCAAAGGCCCAGCGGTGTCTCGAATGGCCATCGAGCATCTTTACTCATCGTGCTAAGAGGGCTGAAACAAGTGACGATGCCTGCTCACCTCCTGAACACCACTATTCACCATAGACAGCCAAGTTTAGAGGCAGTGGACCAATACAATGAACTGGATAACCTCTAGGAACATAGTAGGGTTGTCCTTTTGGTCCGGCAGATCAAGATTATTATCCGCTGCTGTATCTAAACGGCCGAAAGTGATCAACGCTTCTTGCCGGTATTAGAGGCTGATCCAGAACCTGTCTCAAACACTCATCAGCTGAACAACAAGATTCCAAGAAAGCCAATCAAGACAAGAGAGGCTTGGTTGACCGCTGAGAATGTGATGGAAATGTCGATCTCGCTGTAATAGGGTTTAAGTTTAAGACCTGGATTTACGAGACCGGAGCTTATTCAAGCCATTAGAATGCCAATCGGCGATCAAGAAGTTGAATGATAACGGCCTCAAGAGACTGTAACTTAGTTGCTAGGTATTGAGACAGACTGGACAGCAATACTGTTCAGCGAGCTGATCGAGCTTATGGTGTGTACTCCGAGACGGCTGAAAAGAATGCTCACCCCTTTAATGTGCACACCTGCTCAGCTTGACGCAAGGAGACATGACATAGATGCAGCTTCTCTTGGCAGACTACACAGAGATTTTGGATCGTCTTTCAAATGATTTTTCTCGATCCATGCGTGGTCCCTCGTCGATTCTCCAGAGAGGTTGAGGTTATGGCTTGAAGACTACCTGTTGGTCTCCTACTGAGTGTCAGCTCGATTCGGATAGACGGCACCTGTTATATAATACAGTTAAGCATGAGAAGTATTTTTGGAGTTGAAGACAGCTGAGAGATCAGAGTAATTTGGAGTGACCAAGTGCGTATATCAACACGGAGTACAACTCTTGGTCTAGGCCAAGTCGATATGCACTACCAAGACACGAACTCCGCCCAACTCTGCGCAACAATAGTAAGACGGATTATTAATGTTTATCATATAAATGTTACTGAAGCTTGAGTTACGTAGATTGGATGAGTTACGAGCGCCAGACCTCAAGCTTCGGATCATTAACGAATAGGGACTATGTCTGCGCTGCATGATCCTATAGCCCACAGGTTATGCAGTCTCAAAAAGGTATATAGCCTTTCCGTATGTTCTTTACGGATCTTCAGATGTGGCATATGCAGCCAACATGTATGCATGAAGCCTAGACTCCATATCCCCTCTCGATCTCACCCATATATCGATCACAAGACGAAGCTGAACGCCCTCAAACAAGTCCCCGAAATCTTACTGCTCATATATGACTCTGACAAGATCTGCTAGAGTGAGAGAATTGTCTCAGAAATGATCAAGGTGTTGTATGTAAGTCAGACTTTCCATCCGTGGCCTAGAACACACTGCGCCGTCAAGCTGCAGTCGTCCTGGTCCAGATCTGTGATGCAACATATTCCACAAGCAGCGAATGCACCGCGAAAATGGCTTATATGTGAGACAATGGATAGTTCCGGACTATTCTCCGTTGTCAAATAACGGCAAAGTGACAGTTGTCTAAGACACACATGCAACCAACACAACGACTCGGAAGCCGACTGGTTCTTTTAACCCTGCCTTACAGGTGGCATCAAGGTGTCCATCACATATCTCGAGCTGCAGCGGTAATCACAATCTAGATATCCGATTTGCGATCTTGTGCAGCGCCAAGATTACATAGGTGCTTCCAGCTTCGAGACCATTGAGGATCGTTGTGCTTGTTAGCTAAGTGGCTGGCAGAGCATGACCTAACATTTTTTTCTCCGAGACACCAAGCGGAGAGATGAGGGTTTCGATCGAGGCGGCTGAACTTATGCTTAGAATCGAAGTGTTGATTTGAGAAACCACGAGTTCAGTTCAGTCTAAGCCAACCCTCTACATATAGACATTAGTTTCGGGAGATAACACGGCGCGTCTTGGACTAACCCCAGGAACTAAGGTAGTGCCCGAGCACTTTTGTAATAGCCTTTCCCAAACACAAGCCACCTTGTCTGCCGCTCCATCACAAAGCGCCCAACTACCTATCACTGATGTCTCAAGCATGGGGAAATTCCTCCCCTCTCCAAAGCCGCCTCCCACCCAACTCATGAGAACCAAGACACGATCGACCGTTCCAGACGTCAATTTGTTCCTCACCAACATGCGTGTTTCTTTAGAAAGGGTAGTACCGCGTGCACATCTCCCTCCCTCCCCTGGACAAGCGCCTCCTGGTAGCGGCCCGGCGGCAACGGCGTGGTCCCAGTAGTCAGCCATCTGAGGAAACTGTCAAAGTTAACCATGAGGCGCTGAGTATACGGAATGGTTGACTAATGATTAAGTGGCTTCTTTATTGGGAGTTGATATTGGATACAAGGCAAATAGAGTCTATTGTGCCTGGAGGAGGAAAAGCTAATGTGTTATTTTTACCGAGTCGCCTAGATCTATCTCACCGAGCGGCGGGAAGTTGATGGCTTGGAATCAATCAATCAACTTTGAGGTGCTGTAATGGGGTCCAGTCTAGAGCTGCAATGTGTGTCTGGGCTTTGGAATGTTGCTCGGGAGGGTTGCCCAAAACCTGCTAGTTTGAGATGGTTGTTGAGATCGAGGTGGCGAGTTATACGATGGCTTCTGGACCTGGTGTTGAAGTGAAGGCTATATAACTTGCTTGGTCTGGCGCATGGAAACATCATCATTACCATCACTTCACTCACAACTCACCACACACTCAAGACTTGCCCCAGTCACTCCAACTACCACAATCAACATGAAGTTCCTCAGCCTCCTTACTCTTACTTCCTTCGCCACGGCCTCTCCTTTCCGTCGGCAACAAACCGTCACAGGAACCATCAGGTCCTCAGTCAACACTCTATCTGACGCCACTGCGGTAACTCTCAACCAGATCAGTAAGTCATTTCTCCTCAACACTCCCAACTTTCTTGTTACTAACAAGATTATAGACGATAATGTCGCCTTGATCAAGAACAACGTCGATGCCCAAGTCATCGTAGAAGCTCAGGCTCTTCTCAAGGCCAACTACCAAGCCATCGCCCAGGGCCTGGCCACTTCCACAACCACAATTGTCAGTGTCACAACAGGAGCAGCTGGTGGCGTTGCTGCCCAAGCCATTGGTCTCACCAACCAACAGATCGTGACACTCACTGCCTCTGTTAACGCCGTTATCAACATCCTTGAGAATATCGGTGCCACTGTCACCATCACCGTCACAGACCTGACTCCTGCTCTGCGAGCTACTTTCCAGTCCGAGATCAATGCTGTCAAGGCTGCCATCAACCCCTTTGTTAGCCCTGTTTTCCTTTTCGCGGCTGCTGTACGAGCTGCGAACGTTGGCGGTAGTGCCACTATCACTGGTCTCGACAATGCCATTGTCAACCTCGTCAGAGTCTACAGCGACGTCGCGGCGTCCATCGGCATTACTCCCATTAATCTCTAAGTCTGGGCCCGGGTTCACGAATGAAGTTATGAGGACTTTCTTTTACAAATGATAAAGCGATATCTAGCATGCTTCTTACGGCAAAAGCAATGGTGCTAGCGGTATAGCGAGCGATTACACACTCCTTGATATATGATATAGTGATTTTTTTTGTGAACCTTCTTGGCCAGTGACTTATGATAACTTGTAATACGGCCCTGAAAAGTGCGAGTGTTGGACGAACTCGTCAATCCCTTGGCGTCACGTAAACGTCAGATTGCCGATCAGGGTTGCATCGATCAACAGGCACGTCCAGTTCCTTCAAACCTTGTTGCAACATTCCTCACAAAGCGCCGAATCAGGTTAGATTACTCCTAGAACGACGAGGACGAAGACGGATTGTGTATGGTCATGGATATAATTAACCTGAATCTAACTATACATCGCTGCCAATAAACTCCTCTAAACTTTTAGCTCATCTCCTCTTACCACCGGCTCTTCCCTTTCCCTTGGGTTTGCCAGGGGCCGCATCTTTGCCTCCCTCCTTAGTCGCCCGACCTTTGGCCCTTGATTTGGCCTGTTCCTTATGTCGGGCCTTCATATCAGCCTCTGACGACTTGCCCTTCCTCCACTCTCCGCCACCCTCGGAACGTAGTTGCTTGTTGTCGAGGCGCTTCTTATCCTTGTTGCTTAGCTTGCCCGTCTTCTTCTTCATCGCCTCTCTCATGCCGTTGAGCTCATCTTTGCCGGCTTGCTTGGACTGCTTCTTGTCGTGTTCAGACTCGAACCATGTTCGCCTAGGTCGTCCCTTGATCTCAGCCTCATGCTGGATCAGGTTCTCACCTTTCTTGACTTGCATCTCGACATGGGCGAGCTGCTTCTCTTCCTTCTCTTCTTGCATGATCTCCTCAATTTCGTCATCCATCTCGTCGATCTGAGCTTGAAGAGCATCAACTTCTGCGGCCTCGATCTGTCGGCTGACAATCTTGGCGCCCTGGGCCTTACCAGCCTTCACAGCAGCCTTGACGACCTTGCGGTCTGTCTCAGAAGCTAATGTCAAGGCAGTACCCTTGCGACCAGCACGAGCTGTTCGACCAACTCTGTGGACGTAGATCTCTAGTGACTGAGGCGCTTCGTAGTTGATGACGGTATCGACGCCCTTGATATCAAGACCACGGGAAGCAAGATCGGTGGCTAATAGGTACGCCACCTTGCCGTCTCGGAAGTCCTCAACACTTGAAATACGCTAAATAGTGTTAGTGATGTCCATAGCTGCGAGACGCAATAAGACTAACCTGTGTTTGGTTCATGCTACCGTGAAGCTCGGCACTTGAGAGGCCAAGTAAACCAAAGATAATTCGAGCTCGATGAGCTTCCTTCTTTTGTCGGAAGAAGATGATAACTCGCTCCTTGTAGAGGTTCTTGCAGACATGTGCCAGGTAACCCATCCGCTTCTCTTCTCGGCCAGGGCGCAGTCGAACGAATTCTTGCACCAGTGTAGTAACAGTCTTCTTCTGAGAATCCACCATAACCCTTGCAGGTTTGTTGAGGCCGACCTTGATAAGACGGTCGACAGTGGATGTCATGGTAGCAGAGAAGAGCATAGTTTGTCGTGACTTGGGGAGTGTTGTGAGAATTTCGTTAAGTTCGTCGGCGAAACCGTCCTCAAGCATACGATCAGCTTCATCGAGGACCATAATCTCGACTGTATCAACGTTGAAGCTGGCAGAGTTTCGCATGTGATCAATGAAACGACCAGGAGTAGCAATAATGACATCTGGGCGCAACTTCAGCTCAACCTCCTGGGCCTTGAGACTCAGACCACCGACGGCAAGGGTGAACTTGATATCAGTGAAGGCAGCAAGCTTTGTGGCTACAGCGTGGCATTGGATAGCCAATTCACGAGTAGGAGTAAGAACAACGACGCGGGTGGTGGGAATTTTCTTAGGTCGGTATAGCAAACGCTCGAGAATAGGAACGATAAAGGCACCGGTCTTTCCAGAACCAGTGACAGCACCACCGACAAGATCTTTGCCCATAAGCGCAATAGGGATTGACTTGGCCTGAATGGGCGTAGGCTTGGAGAATCCTACTGTAGCAAGACCACGGAGAATGGGACGTGACAGAGACATGGCCTGGAAAGACGAGGCATTCTTCTTGCCAGGTGCCTCCACTTCCTCCGGGGCGAAGAAAGCCTTTCGCTTCGCTTCCTCCTCGGCGTCCTCCTCCTCATCGCTACCGTCGGAAGCATCGTCATCTGGATGTCCTGTGGGAGTAGCAACAGAGTCGTTGTCTGATGCAGCATCATCATCGTCTTCCTCGTCCTCATCCTTGTCTTCAGCTCCAGATTCATCCTCATCATCTTCGTCCTTCTCATCACCAGATTCCTCAACATCAGAAGCAACGTTCATACCGAATGCGTCGTCTGCGAGAACCTCGTCGTCATCGTCATCCAGATCAACATCCATGGCCTCGTTCTCTTCGGCATCGGCAGTCTCTTCGGGGTCAGATTTGCCAAGCTTCTTTTCGCGACGTCTTCGAATAATCTCATCCAGATCCACGCCCTTCTTTTCAACAGCCATACCCCCCTTCTTTGCGCCATCGAAACCCCATCCCTCGAATTCTACTGTACCAAGGTCGGTAGCTTCCTCAGCGCCAAACTCGAATTCGGAGTCCATGGCACCATCGTCGTCATCATTGAATCCCCAAATGCCCTCTACGCCATTTTCCTCCTCCTCTTCTTCAGGACTGGCTGCACGCTTTGACTTCTTTGACTTTTTGCTGGTCTTGGCCTTCTTCTTGGGAGGTTCCGCGGTCACTTCCTCCTCCTCGACAGGAATATCGTCATTGTCGTCAATTGTAAAGATGAAATCGTCTTGCACCGGTTTTCGCTTCTGTGAGGGCGCCATCTTATCGGATTAAAAGGCACTCGTACAGCTATTCTATCAAGATTTGCAGACGCGACTGAAGCAGTGGGGCACCTTTCGCAGTAAATCTCGAACTTTTTTTTCTGCCACTTTTCGAAATTTTGGCGGTGAGAGCTTGCTACCTTCCCAGCTGAAGCATCGATAGGCGGCTCAGCACGTGACTTCACTGGCTGGACGGGAGCAAGCTCTAGGGGACGTAGCGGGGGGGTAGGAGGGGTTCTAGCGTTGCGGTACGTGGCGGTACCTTCTATGCCAAACACAATCAGCAATAACACAGCGGATGTGCTGGTCCCTCTGGGTACCCCCCACCAACGGCCGGTTGGTTGATTGGGCGACAGGCTACCCATGAACAACTTCGTGGAATCAGCGCGAAGACGGTTGCTTTTAATTTCTCCCCAACTTAACCCGACGAACGCAATCTCCTTAGCTTCCCATTTGCGCCTTCGTTCGGTTTGTTTTCTTTCCTCGACTCGATATCCTCTAGAAACGAACGCCTTTCGCCCTTCTCCTACGTCGCTTGTTTGCGCTCTCACGATTCCGAATAATACATCACACCTCCCTACAACAATCAGTTCAAAATGGGCGAGTCGAGGTTGGTGATGCCTCCTGGAGCTGTTTACAAGACAGCTAGCTACCTCCAAATATTGCTTACATGCTAATACATGACGCCGCAGACAAGAGCTTGTTGCATGGCTCAACAGCCTGCTTCAGCTTAACATCACCAAGGTTGAGCAATGCGGTACTGGGTGAGTCCATCCATCTTTTGTTTGCCCCGCCCCCTCGTCACGGATCGCTGCGTCGTGTTGCACCATGCCATGATCGAAGCAAGGGATGATAAACAACACCAAACAACCCCGCGATCGCTATCACGACCACTTCATAAGAGCCTCACATGTCATCCCGGATCTATACAACCACCACACAAGCACACATCATCATCTACATCATGGCACTTTTTAACACCGCCTTTCTAGTGCTGCCCTTTGCCAGGTTTTTGACAGTATCTACATGGACGTTCCCATGGCCAAGGTCAAGTTCAATGTGAACTCTGAATACTTGTATATTCAAAATTTCAAGGTGTTGCAAAGTCAGTCATTTTTCTTACACTCTTGCCTAAGAACAACATGCTGACGTGTCTTTAGACACCTTTACCAAGCACCAAATTGACAAGCCTATTCCTGTCTCCGCACTTATCAAGTGCAAGATGCAGGACAACCTAGAGTTTCTCCAATGGACAAAGCGATTTTGGGACCTCAACTTCCCCGACCACGAGTACGATGCCGTTGCCCGCCGAAAAGGTGGCTCAATGCCTCCCGCTGCCGCCGCTCCCCGACCTGCTGCTAGCACTGGCGCCGCTCGCCGCGTGGGTAGCGGTACTCCCAGTGGTGGACCCCGAGTTGCAAAGGCCGCTGGACCCGCTACCGCAGCTCTTCAGCAAGAAAATGCCACATTGAAGGAGACCGTCACAGGTCTGGAGAGGGAACGAGACTTCTACTTCAGCAAGTTGCGAGATATTGAGCTACTTGTCCAACAGGCGGTTGACGAGGACCCGGAGCTGGAGAAGCAAGAGGATGGTCTCGTGAAGCAGATCCAAACTATCCTTTACTCAACAGAGGAAGGATTCGAGATTCCCGCTGAGGGCGAGGGTCTCGATGACCAAGAGACCTTTTAGACTTGTTGATGACATCGAAGGCTGGACGATGTACTTAACGCGACCACGATTTGGGTAACTCTGGTTTCTCTGGCACGAGTTAAGCAGGGCATGGATATGGAGTTGTGACCCAAAACCTTGGGGAAGGGAGTTCGCTGAGCTGACGGAGGACAATATTTGGCTCTAGAAGCAAAGGTTGTCTCTGTACTTGTTCTGGGACTCGCATAGAGTACTCGAGAATGAGGATAAAAATTGATCTTGTTGGACACTCGAGCTTGTGTCGCCGTGTTACGGTTAACGTCGTGGCCAGCAAATGGGAGCGGGACGGGCCGAGACCATGGAAGTCGGGCAAAGTCAAACTTGGGAAGTATAGAAACAAGCATGGCTGAGTTGACTTGTTAGAGTAATGTGATGACTTTGTACATAAAACTGTCGAGATACCC